GAGAGAAATTTATTCTTTATTTCCCATCATTTCTGGGGGGGAGGGGGGGCTTTGTTGTAGGACACCGATCGATCTGTTTTCGCCAGGTTCTTTTATCAGTTTTAGTTCGTGATGGGTTTGTTTATGGATTCGTTGGGGTCTGAGGACTTTCATTGATTCAATTCTTTTATTTTGGTCGAGAGGGAAAATTGATTTTGCGGCTTGAGGAAATACTTGGAAACGTGTTATTTCCTTTTAAAAATATTCGGGGATCGAACGATTTATCCCAAAGTCCTCAATGAAATTCTGTAATATCCATAAATTGTAATTGAGGGAATGAAAATCGCTCGAAAATTTGTTTACGCATGTCTACCTAATTTTGCGGCAAATGATTCCGTAAATAATCTAATCCTCAAGGGTTGTTGATTTTAAAAATTGACTTCTGGTGTGCATAAATACCCTTCTACCCAAATTCTGAGTACGGATGCCGGAAATGTGGGTATGAATGCGTCAAGAGAGGTAAGAAGTCACACCAGGCGTCCGAACCCGTTATTTATGACCCTTGCGCAGATATTAAGCCCCGAGGAACAATGCGGCGACATATTTTGCGGAGTGAAGGGGATTTTGAGGTAAAGAGGAGGACAGAGTGAGGGGTGAATTTTCGCCGGGGGTCTTGAGGTGGCGGGTGAGGTAAAATATAGTGGGGCCCTGCTCCACTTGAATAAATGAATCCTCTTTGAGTGGCCCGGAGTTTTCTGAAGAAGGCCGAGGGAAAAGGGCCTTTTTTGATTCTTCTTCTCATTCTTTCACTTCCGTGAACCCTCGGCGACACTGTCCACCCCTTTTTGCTTTCCTTCTCTCGCTACCGGAACGTCTCGAGAAAAGTTGAATGCAAACACGCGAAAGAGGGGAAAATTGAGTAAAAAATATTCGAATTTTTTGACGATTTTTCGAGAATAAATCTTGTTCGGGGACAATGGGCGAGTTTGAATAGTAGGAAACCCTTTTTGGGCTCACCCGGGGGAAAAAATGAAGAACATCTGCATACGCTTCTGAAGGAATATCCCTTGGATTTTACGGCTTCGAATGTGAAAGAAAAAAATACAAAAACGAAGGAATACATTCCTTTGTGAATGAAGAGAAATTCAATATCGATTGTTTGCAGAAATGACCGGCAGATCCGTTTGCCTCAATTTCTTTCCAGTGGTCGCTCTTCAGCTCCAGAAACACTGGTCACAACTTTTCTCGTCACCTCCCCGATTATTAAAATTGTTGCATTAACGCGGGGCGATTTATGTTTGCAGGAATTGCAAGGAGAGCGTTAAAAAATGCACGGCAGCTGGGAGTCGGGGGAGGCTCCGGTGCCGCCGTCAGATCAGCTACAGCAGCAGCCGATTATAATGGAGGATAATCATCCCCTCCAGTCGCCAACCCCGCCCGCTTGGGGTAGCACGGATAGAAGAGCGGTGAGAAATTTCGCCCCAGATTAATTCCCCCTTTCAGTATGAAAATCCGTCTCCTACGCATTCCATTCTTCTTTTTTGCACTAGATTATTGACAAAATATCAAGATTCGTCTTTACTTTTCTCCCAAAAATTTTCATTTCTACCTAAATTAATTATTAATTAATTTATTAATTATTAATTAATTTTGAAATAGTAAATTCGTAAATATTAACCTACAATTTTCAAGTATTAAATTAATAATCAATTTAGTATTTTACTTGATTGTATTTAGTATTTTATTTTACCAATTATTTCTTCAATTAAAAATCTTTTTTATGAAATTCAGTATTATTTATTCAATAGACAATTGCTAATTATTTAATTCATCTTTAGTTACAAATTAAATGGATTATCGATTATTTTTCTAATTTTAAAATTTCGATGATTATGTTTAAACTTTAATCAAAATAAGGTGCACGTTCTCTTAATTTCGAAGAATGGAATGGCTGAGGCCATCCCTGATAGTCAAGAATGAATGAAATTTTATTATTTCACTAATAATTTATTTTCTCGTAGAAGGAAGAGGCAACCGACGACAAGAACAACGACTCAGGCGTCTCCCCGGGGCACTACACGTCCTCAGCTTCTCCGCGAAGCGAGAGATCCTCCCCCACTGGCACCAGCGGTTTCTCACCAGGAAGCGCGGCATCCAGCGATTTCCAGCCGACGCCCGGCTGTAGCTACGATTACAGTTTGCAGAGTCGCTTCAACAACTGCCCATCGCCCCTGAACTTCTCCAGACTACCAGTAATGACCGATCAGCCAGGGCCGTCCGGGCTGCATCAGCCGATGGACGTTGAGAGCACGAATATTGGAAGTGATTCGTCCGAGGAGGGCCAGGAGCATCTGCAATGCCCTGTCTGTCAGTTCACAGCAGAAAATGGGTAAGAATCACCCCAATTACTCCAATTAGACTGACAACCGATGGTAGTAAATTAATCAGCAACAGAAGAGCTGATACTTCTGTGGATTCTCCTCTGCATCCAGTCACCCCATCCCCGCCAAGTCCATCCACTATAATCACGAAACAATTCGCCACTGCGACTGCCCCAATCTTCTAAAAACTGACATACGTTTCTCCCCCTCCAGATTACAGCTTCGTGACCACCTGACAGGCCACTGCACGAGCACTGACACCCCAGACTTCGCGCACTCGCTCTTCCCCCAGCTCTCCCCCTCGGCGAATCCCCAGCTGAGTCCAATGGACGACATCAATCGGGCATCGACATCATCGGGTTCCGGGCGCTCCGAGCACGACTACGAGGACATCGACGAGCCCGGTATTCGCACACCTCGAGTCAACTCCCAAGGGAAAGTGAAGACCTACAGCTGCAAGCACTGCAGCTTCGTAGCTGTGACGAAGGTCGCCCTCTGGGAGCACGCTCCGCTCCACATCAAGGCCGAGAGGCTCCTGAGCTGCCCCAGGTGTCCCTTCGTCACCGAGTTCAAGCACCACCTCGAGTACCACATTCGCAATCACTTCAAGTCGAAGCCCTTCAAATGCGACAAGTGCTCGTACTCCTGCGTCAACAAGTCCATGCTCGCCAGCCACATGAAGTCCCACTCCAACGTCTACCCGTACAGATGCGCCATGTGCCCGTTCCAGGCAAAGTACCAGCACGCTTTGAAGCAGCACGTGAAGAATCGCAAGCACGAGGTGGGAATTGTGCTGAATCCAGACGGCACACCGAACCCCCACGCGGTGGTGGATGTCTACGGTACGAGGAGGGGGCCCAAGCCGAGGCCAATAGCCCCAAAGCCCCAGGCACGGCCTCCCAGCAATGCCCAGAGCCCCCAGATGATGTCGCAGATGGGGGTGTTGACGCCACTGTCGGTCCCCACTGGGTTCAACCCGTTGATGGCGCTCAACCCCCTGAACTCCATCCTCTCTGGTTTTCCGGTGGTCAACCAATTCGGCAGAGATGGTGTGGATAATATGGAGGGACTCAGGGCGAGTATCTTGGCTCAGTATGCCACGGCCATGGCTGCTGGCAGGCTCAATGCTAATCTGCCTCAGAATGGCGTGAATTACGGACACTCTGGGAGTGGAANGAGAGGACGAAATTCGTCTCTCTTCGGAATTTTTACAGCAGAGGAATCAGGCGTCGGTTTTTTATCTCTTGTATCGAGATTTTTTTTTGAGGCAGCTCGTAATCCCTAGTTTTAGAAATTAATTAGTCTGGTGGAGTCACTCTGAGAAATTCCGAAGAGATTATTTTACTGAATGAGACAAATTCTCTCGATGTTTGTGATAGAAAAAAATATTCACTGCGGTGAAGACTGAAGTTCAAATCCGAGGGAACATTAATCGCTCAAAGTGCATGAGAGCAGAATTCCAATAATATTATAAAGACAATTCTGAAGTTGAATGGATTCAAGAAACAATTGATCACCCAATTCTTCGTGATTCAGAATTCCTTTTATTGTGATGAGATTATCCTCTCAAAAATATGAAACAAGTTGTTCAGTATTTTTTACTCCATTCAATTACAGAATTATGGATGAAGATTATTATTAATTATAAGGTATTTTTCTAAGCTCAAAATTAAAATTAATCAACGAAAAATGATGGATAATTGCCTGGAGGAATTGCCGAGTTGTGCCATAGCAGACGACCCTTGTAAATATTCCTAGACACTGGGAAAAATAGAGTGATTACATATAAATATTTGATATGAATATATTTTTCGAATTCAGAAAATTTATTCCAACGAAATGTTGAAGAAAGTACAGATGACTGTAGCTCCCACTTAATTATTGAAAATTCAAGAAGACGTTTGTGACTCAATATGAAAATTAATTCAGTTGTGAGAATTAAACTTTCTTCGATAATTTTCGATGAGTTTTTCCTTTCTCATTGCATCAGGGATGACTCAAGTACAATTGAATTCCCCATTAATGAGAGAAAATAGCCCAATGAAAACTAGATACGAGAACGTGATGAAAAATGTAAATTAGACGAACGTTTGTATGCGAGAGAGTTTTGTATAAATTACGATGAGTTGAGAAATGAAAACTTCGCTTTTCTGAGCCAAAAATCAAAGAAACGATGAGTGAGATTATTCTAGTATCATTGGGATTAACGGAATGTCATCTAGGTCTAAGAATGCGAAGTCATGTAATTGTAACATTCCTTCTTGTGTACAGAAATTTTGAATATTAATAGTTTATTTACAAAATGGAAAACGTTGGACTTTATTTTCCCTCCTAACGTGCCCGAAAAATCATCTCGTTTGAGTAAATTCAACAGAAAAACCAAAGTCTGTTAATTTTTTTATGTAAAATATTTTCTGTTGGACATTTCCACTCGATAGACATTCGTTTTTTTTCCCCGAGAGAAAAAAAATCGGGACATTTGTCTGTAATCGTTACGTGATTGCTGGGAGACATGTGGAAAGACACGAGGAACGTCCACACGACTTTGAGACTTTCACTCTCAGTTTTACCTCAACTGCGGAGAGAGTGATAGCTCTGGAGGCATTAGTGATACAGAGAGTTGGATTTTTTGTGGCCATCGTTATGGATTTTAAATACTTGCTTGTGGTAATTGATTTGGTTGAAGTTGATGATCGCTCTCGTGATATTATCACTTCTTGGTGATTGATTGGGGGAGTAATTGGGGTTTTTGATGAATATCTTGCACTCGGGGAATGGAAACCGTTTGTTTCTCTCGAAGAATGACTGTTTGACGCTAAATGAGATAATTATTTGTTATTTCAATTATTTAATTCTTGAATAGAAAGAAATTCTGTCAAATTTTAATTTCTATCGAAACTCTCGAAGTCCATTTTATTAAAGACAATTTTATTTACAAAATTTTATTGCTTTTTGGAAATTAAAAAAAAGATATTTTATGGAAAAAAATCTACAGATTTGGAATTTTCTGGGGAAATTCTTGGGCTCAAATTTTCCTCTGTAGGGTTTTTCCTCTGTATTTTTATTTATTTCTCATGATGAAATTTAAAAAATGGAAAAATGGAAAACTCGTGTGAAAGAATTCTTACAGAGAAAATTCTATAGAATAAGTTGTGTTGGAAAATCACGAAGAAATTGACTGTTTGACGCTAAATGAGATAATTGTTTGTTATTTCGATTATTTAATTCTTGAATAGAGAAAAATTCTGTCAAATTTTAATTCCTATCGAAACTCTCGAAGTTAATTTTGTTCAAGATAATTTTATTTAAAAAATTTATTGCTTTTTGCAAATGAAAAAAAAGATTTTTTATTTAAAAAAAATGTATTGAAACGCGCTAAATGAGATAATTGTTTAATTCTTGAACCCAAAAAAATTCTGTCAAATTTTAATTTATATCAGAACTTTCGAAGTCAATTTTATTCAAGATAATTTTATTTAAAAAATTTATTGGTTTTTGCAAATAAAAAAAAGATATTTTATAGAAAAAAATCTACAGATTTGGAATTTTCTGGGGAAATTCTTGGGCTCAAATTTTCCTCTGTAGGGTTTTTCCTCTGTATTTTTATTTATTTCTCGTAATGAAATTAAAAAAATAGAAAAATAGAAAAATCGTGTCAAAGAATTTTTACAGAAGAAATTCTACAGAATAAGTTGTGTTGGAAAATCACGAAGAAGTTGCATAATTTCTTGAAGAATGCGCTGGGATTTTCTGTTGAATTGTTTCACGTGTGTTCACATGAAAATGTAATTCTGGGAAGACCATAAATCATTGAATGATGCAGGTAACAGTCTTCATGATGACTGCCAGAGGCTCGCAGTCGAATCTACTGACGCTGGTTCATGACTTGGTGCAGAATAACGTCGCTGGCATCCCAATTATTCATGAGGTATGTGCAATATTCAGGTATAAGTGGCTTTTATGGGCTGGAAATTGAGTAAGATGGGACTGAAAAAGTAATGGACTCGCCTCGTTTCAGGAGCGAAGTGTTGGAACGATGAGATAAATCAAGTTCGCAATGAATTTTCATAAAGAAAGATAAATTTCTTTGAGATTTCTCAATATCGCTGGCGTTCCGACGTTCTCAGCAATTCATTTCTGACTGGAATTTCCTCATTTTTATAGTAAACCAAAGTGAAGTACACTGAGAGGAGAACAAACACGTCGTCAAACAAGTCTTGTTTGGGCCAACAAAATCGCTAGTTGAAAATTGCCAAAAAAGAATTTATTTGGTTCGAATTGGAAAGTCTCAAACATGAATAATTGTTCTGCCTTCGACAGCCGCGAAATTTTGGCTCAAGAGACGGATAATTCACACCAGACGGTGCCTTTCAGGATGAAAATATCTCTCGTGTGCAGAGAATGCAATTTTTTTTGAACTACTAAATCTATTTTTGCGACAAAAATTTTTCATCCCGGCGCACTCTCTGCGCGTTTGGCACAAAAAATCCTTTTTGATAATTTTCAAAAAACTATTTTCTTGGCACAAGTAAGACTTTGAGAACTTTGTCGTTTTTCTCCCAGTGTAGTTGAGTAAAATATGAAAGACATTTCGTGGAGGATTTTTTTAGAGTAGAATTTAAAAAATTGGAGAATATTTCTAAGTGAATTTCGAGATTTCTGACGAAAAAACAGATCAGACGTAAGGAAAATTATTAAAAAATGTAAGGCTTGACTAATCTGGTCCCTCCAAATTTCACGAGTAATTTTCCAACATTTTGCATTCTACAACAAACTCTGAACTGTTGACGTAATGTTATTTTTTTTTCTTCAGAAAACAGAATGGGACTTTGACCCCAACGACGGAAAAATCCGAAGGGTACAGTACGAAGCGGTGAACGGATGGCGAGGCCAGGACCTGATAAATCGTTTGGGTGGCAGTGCTGGATTCAAAGGTCCATGGGGAACTAAAGTGCAACAGGCTAAGCCAGACCTGCGACATGTCAGATAATCCCTCAGATCAACATCAATTACTCCCTTGTGATACGCATTAAATAAATTATCTTACCATTAAAAATTCCCCGAAAAAAACCTGAAAAAATGCCTCAACATTTTTAACTTATAACAGGACAAGAGGGATAAAATCCATGAAATCTAGTGAAATTAGAAGTTTTATTAAGGGCATACACTTAACACAACGAGTCGCACCTCAACGACAGTAAAATTTCGTTCGGCAACTCCACAAATGCGAACATCGCACTCCCCCCACGAATTACATTACGCTACGCATTAATTTACACGCTAAAGTGTAACTCATCACACTTCAACAGCTCTCAAAATTTCTGCCACGTCTACCAAGTAATTCGCCCAACTGATTTTAAAAAATGTATTGAACACCGAGTACGTAAAGGTGAGTGGATTTTAATGCTTCGAGGTGCAACAGACCGTCGACTAAAAAATTTCCTAAACTCGATCGTTCATTCATGGAGAGAGAACCCCAAAATCCCCTGATTTGTCCTCTCACCCGAGAAAAATATGCCACAGCCATTACCAATTTACCTTATCTACCATCCAATTATCATTTTTCCCCATTTTAGTCCCACCTCCTCCGCTCTATTTCCTATTTTTTAAAAATGTAAAAAAATTCTCCCCTCGCCGATCAATTATTCCTACATTTTCTGTCTACTTTTTACATTTTACTACTCCATAAATGAAAATTAAGTTATTCCTCGTCTCCATTCGCTACTTCTCATCGTATTATGGCATTCACTGCTCCTCATGATTGATTAATTTTCATTTATTCCCCTAATCTCGAAGAAGAAAAATTCTACAAACGCCATGATTCAACGTACTCGGTCTTCAAGAGTGCAATTTATCGATCTTCAATACCATATTCAAACATCAACCCCAGAGTTTTTCCAACGAATGGAACACTCTTGGCAATGGAATTCGTATGAATGCTCTATCAAGTAATTATTATATTGCTGGTGGGTTTCTTCATAATTTTTTTTCTCCAATCAGAGTGTCGTGGCTCCTTCAATTGTCGATGTCGTTGTCGATGCGACTGCTGCGTATGCCTGTTTTTCCTGTCCACGGGTAAATGTCGGGACAGGCCTGGCACGTCTTCATGTACCTCACGCCACTCTTGTGCCAGAGGTTGCAGACCTTCGCGTTGTTGCATTTTTTGGGTCTGTCCTGTAATCAGAGGATTGCTATGTTAACTAATATGGCAATAACTCGAGAACCGCTAAGTGAAATTTTCCAACTTTTCTTTTATTTTCAAGGTACTGTCGGTAGCTTTAAAATGAGCCCTGACCCATCCAAATCGCATCATTTGATCGAGAGAAATGCTAAATTAAAGGCAGTTAATTTCACCCCAGTGCGTTTTTTGGGTCTGTCCTGTAATCAGAGGATTGCTATGTTAACTAATATGGCAATAACTCGAGAACCGCTAAGTGAAATTTTCCAACTTTTCTTTTATTTTCAAGGTACTGTCGATAGCTTTAAAATGAGTCCTGACCCATCCAAATCGCATCATTTGATCGAGAGATATGCTAAATTAAAGGCAGTTAATTTCACCCCAGTGCGTTTTTTGGGTCTGTCCTGTAATCAGAGGATTGCTATGTTAACTAATATGGCAATAACTCGAGAACCGCTAAGTGAAATTTTCCAACTTTTCTTTTATTTTCAAGGTACTGTCGGTAGCTTCAAAATGAGTCCTGACCCATCCAAATCGTATCATTTGATCGAGAGAAATGCTAAATTAAAGGCAGTTAATTTCACCCCAGTGCGTTTTTTGGGTCTGTCCTGTAATCAGAGGATTGCTATGTTAACTAATACGGCAATAACTCGAGAACCGCAGAGTGAAATTTTCCAACTTTTCTTTTATTTTCAAGGTACTCTCGGTAGCTTTAAAATGAGTCCTGACCCATCCAAATCGCATCATTTGATCGAGAGATATGCTAAATTAAAGGCAGTTAATTTCACCCCAGTGCGTTTTTTGGGTCTGTCCTGTAATCAGAGGATTGCTATGTTAACTAATATGGCAATAACTCGAGAACCGCTGAGTGAAATTTTCCAACTTTTTTCTCATTTTCAAGGTACTGTCGGTAGCTTTAAAATGAGCCCTGACCCATCCAAATCGCATCATTTGATGGAGAGATATGCTAAATTAAAGACAGCTCACTTCACCCCATTATCGAGTTGCAAATGAACTCGTGAATTATAACTCAGAAATTGCAGTTGAGAAAGGGTGAGCGACACTTACAGGATAATTACAGCCAAATGGCTCGAAGTTGTCCAGTAATGCTAGAGGGGTTGGATTCCTGACCCACTGGAGTGCCTGCCAGTTCGTCACGATCCAGACGTCGTCCATGGCAGCAATAGTATCGAGGAAGGAGATGAATCCTTCCTTGTGGTGGGGCTGTGTGAACCACGCTGCGTGGTAGAACAATCCAAAAGGCGCCCTGATCGTAGATTAAAATAAATCAGTCAGCGTAAAAAATAATATTTGCAAAACAATTGATTTATTTTATTACATTAATCTATTTTTCAAATCGTCTCGTGAAATTTCAGGCATTTTTTCACAGCTTCAGGCACTTTTCAGTGATAAAAATGTGTTTTATATTTTTTATTATTTTTTCATATTGTTTATTTTAGGGAAAAAATGGCTTCGAAAAGTTTCTGCGATGCAGATAGTCATTTGGGGTTTATCTGGGCTGAGATTGCCTCACATTGGGCAACTCCAGCAGATATTTAACGATAAATTACCTGTTGGTAGTGTAATGTCTCTCGAAATTCTTAATGAGCATTTTGTAAACACCATCGGGTGTCGGTGGATTGCTGCAGGCGTCTCCCATGGAGCATCTGCCGCCGTTGAGGTCCTGCCACATCACCATGGGCACCTCCCACAGGCCTGGGTAGGAGCGCGTTGGACAGGGGGGTATCATGCAGTCGTGGAAGAGTTTGTAGTCGAGGGTATATGGCCACGATGGTGGACGATTCTCGTAAATCGGCATCGATGAGTCGTACGTGAAATTCGTCTCCCAAAGCATCTTGAACATGTTGTTTCCACCGACCTGACGGCAATTCATTCGAATCAGTTCGGCTTGGCAATGATGAATTAGTGATTTTTCATGAAAACGATTCAACTTTCAGCTATTATTTTGGTAATTTCATTGAATTTCTGTGGGAATTTCACTGGAATTATGGGAATTGGTGGAGATTTTACAAAATGCAAAAAACAAGAATTTATTTAGAATGTATTTGTGAGAGGAATTGAATAATTTACAGTTTTCGGCGATTTTTTCATCAAATTATTAATTTTTAGAGACGGAAAGTTGTCAAGTTTAGGTCAATTATTCAATGAAAATGGACAGAAGTCAGGAAAATTCAGGGGAATATATTTTTGCATGTTAATTACATTTCAATTAATTGAAAATTCAGCGTAATTTGGTACAGAATGTTGAAATTTACATTGAGAATTCATTGGATTTCCAGTGAAATCTGAAATTTTATGATTTCAAATTTTGTTTAAATGATTACCTATAAATCTAATTTAATGACACTTTCTTGAAAATTACTAGACAACTTGGGAATTTCCATCACATTATATTGAAATTAAAGTGAAATTTCAAAGAATTTCGTTATTGTAAATTCAAATATTCATTGAAAAATGAACGGAAGCTACGAATTTCAGTTCAATTGGTCAATGAAAATTAATAGAAATTAGGAAAATTCGGGCGAATATATTCTTGAATTTTTAATCAATTAAAAATTGAACCTAATTTGCAACTGTTTATTAAGATTCACAAAAATTTGGATTTTCTCGAAATTGCATTTACATTATAGTTTCACTGAAATTTCAAGGAATTTCGTTGTAAATACAATATTTCATGGAAAAATCAGCCGAAGTTGTAAATTTCAGTTCAATTATTCAATGAAAATTAATAGATATCCGGAAAATTCAGGTAAATATATTCTTCAATTTTCAATGAATCAAAAATTCAGTCTAATTTGCGGCTGATTATTGCGATTTACAAAAATGTTGAATTAATGAGTCTGAAATTTCCTAATTTGTTCCCTCAAATAAAATTCAATGTCACTCTCCTGAGAATTCCTAGTCAACTGTCCCTGGATTTCAATATTATTTTCAACAGCCTGACTAAAAAAACAGTATGCAAACACGAATAAGTGTTCAGTCAACGCACAACAGCGATGTTCGGCTCAGTTCTCCCTCCCACTTTATGTAATTCAATGTTAAGCAATGATTAGAAAATGAGGTGGGACTTACGGAGAGGAATGGAGCTCTCATTCCCCTGACGTCCTCCAACTTGACTCCTCCATAAGCGGCGAGAATTTCTCGCTGTCCAGCCACTTCTCTGGCCCACTTCCTGGCCGAGAACTGCTCACCGAAACTGTGCCTACGTATTCACATAGATTACAGTATATTCCAGGATCTAGTACTGGCGGAATGAAGGTAAAGTCGAGTACGAGGGTTCAGTCAACTCAAATAGTGGGGAAAAACTATTTTTCTTCATCAAGTGACGAAATTACGTAGAAAAAAAAACGGATTCACTCTCTGGGTTAAAATAGAAATGAAAATTGTATTAGTTTGAAAGATTTTTTTGGCTTTTATTATTAAGCTGGTGATTTAAATAGTGAAGTGGTAAAACATGACATAAAAATTTCATTTTTCAGGTCTCGAAATCCAATTTTCATTGTCAGAAGACATTTTAAAAATCTATCATGACCAAAATTATGAATATGACTTAATGGTTTCATCTTTAGATTAATTTTTGATATTCAATTAATTTTGCTTCATCACTTCACTCTCGGAATGAAGGAGAAAACAATTATTTTCTATGAAATGACAAAATTAGCTAGAAATAATCGCAATAGAACTCTTCATTTTATTCTCTTCATTGAGAAAAGAAGAATATGTTAGTTGGAAATTTTTTTGGCTTTGATTCCTAAGCTGATGATTTAAATAGTGAAGTGGTAAAACATGACATAAAAATTTCATTTTTCAGATCTCAAAATCCAATTTTCATTGTCAGAAGACATTTTAAAAATCTATCATGACCAAAATTATGAATATGACTTAATGATTTCATCTTTAGATTAATTTTTGATATTCAATTAATTTTCCTTCATCACTTCACTCTCGGAATGAAGGAAAAAACAATTATTTCCTGAATTTTTTTTTTCTGAAACAATTATTTATGAAATGTCAAAATTAGGCAGAAATAATAGCAATAGAAAACTCTTCATTGTATTCTCTTCGTTGAGAGAAAAAAAGAATATGTTAGTTGAAATTTGTTGGCTTTTATTCATTAAGCTGATGATTTAAATAGTGAAGAGACAGCGTCAAAAGGCATTTTAAAAAATCTACTACCCCTAAAACTGTAAATACGCCTAATGACTTCATCTCTAGATCATTTTTTGTGCCATTAAATTCATCACGTTTTATCACTTCACCATCAATTCTGCCGAACGAGACGTTCCAAGCTCGTTTGATGCAGCGATGATACTTACGAAACAGTGTGAGAAGCGATTTCATGACCATTTGCATAGAGATTCTGCACTTGGCTGTAGTCAGTCCACTCGTGTGACACGTAGAACGTAGCCGAGATGGGACAGCCGTTCGGGTTTTTACGTCCCTTCTCAAACAGATCTGAGTAGAGGCCCTTGTTGAGATCATTGACTGAATCGTCGAATGTCAAGAGCACAATCTGGGGTATCTCCTCAGGCAAATAATCACCTGTTTGCCATTAGTTCGACATTTTTTTTTTCGCAAGCGAGTGATGGGAAAGTGTGCCATTGATGAGGTGTGAAAAACCGTTTGGTCATTGTCCGGTGTTTTCAAGGCAGATAGATGAAAGGAAAAAAGAGAAAAGAAAAAGTTTCAGTTAGTAATCAGCATTAGTTGCCTGTTCTATTAAAAACTTGAGTTTTTAATTTTTCGGCAGAAGTTTGCAGTTGCAGTTGCATTGGAAGTTCAGAGAATTTTTGTGATTTTTTTTTTGCAAATTTCATCAAAATTCCACTCATTATTTGACAAATATCTTCCAAAATTTTCTCTCAACCTCATCCATTTACGGATATCTGCAAAAATATCAAAAATTTTATTTTCGTCAAATCAATAATTTTTCGAGCGCAAAACACTTCGACTGAAATAAATTTCAGTTTGTGAATTGATTTCAATTAATTTCCCTCGGTTAATTGTCGGATAAAGCCTCGTACTCGCGCCTTTTTTCCACTGAAAAAACCGCACGACTTACGAGACAGTGTGACTGGCCATTTCATGCCCATCGGCGTAAAGATTCTGCACTTGACTGTAATCTGTCCACTCATGAGACACGTAAAAAGTGGCTGATACTGGACAGCCGTTGGGATTTTTGCGTCCGCGCTCGAACAAATCCTCGTAAAGTTGCTTATTGAGATCATTAACAGCATCATCGAACGTCAGAAGGACAATCTGTGGTGTCTGTTCACTGGGAATGCCACCTATTCGTCGATTAAAAAATCATTTCCTCATTACTCCTCTCAGTTTTGAAAGAAAAATTCACTTCAATCGAGGAAGTTCACTCGACTCCATTCCCGGGAGCTTAATCAACATCGTAATCCCGAGAAAAATAAATGAAAACCTAAAAAATAACCTGATTTCCTGGTGAAAATGCCGACGACCGCGAGTGACTTTGAGCAACTCTCCCTCTTGTTACAACGACACTTGAGATTATATTTTTCACGGTCGTAAAATACTCGATCGATTTCTCGTTATTCTCTTGCATAACTCCTTCGGAAATTATGGTAAATCATTTGCTGATGAATGAACCATTTGGTTGGGAATAAATTTCATGCTTTTTTATAATTCTCGCTCCAATAAACGAAGGGAAAAGATTCAAATTAGGAAATATCACGGGGAGACCTGTTTTCAATTTTTTATGACGAAGCAAATGTATTCAAATGACACGACACATTTTGGAATTAAGGCCCGGGCGTACTATCTTTCCAATGTTATCTGGATTTTTTTTATCCTTCGTAATCCAAAATTGTCAATTGAGTGGTAGAAATCGTGTAGAAATTCCTGTAGAAATTCCCAAAAATTATGATAGAATGATGAAAAAAATTGAAAAATTCTGAACTCTTGCAAAGAGCGTTTTTAATTGAGATTCAGAATGAGTTGGAAAAAGTGGAAATTACTCATATCTGATTCGCTGTGGCTAATTATCTATTAGCTGTCATTTTCCATGGTGGATAACAAAACACTAACTCCTCATGGGAAGTGACAGCTAGGTATCTCAATTTTCAAACCAGTGGTATGTAGTCATCTGCCATTTTTATGTGATAAAAGTGTGATTGAAAAATTCTCCAAAATATTACAACTTTTTTCAAAGAGCCTTTTCCGTAATAAATGTCTGCGCAGTGTGGGAAAAGATTTACGAAATCAGTCTTCCCCCTGCATGACATTGGGTGACAGGCCGCCATTTGTCACCGTAAATCAGATACATTTTTCAATTTCTTGTTACTCAACTTATTCTGAATACAAATGAAAAATGCTCTTTGAAAAAATTAAGAATTTTTTCTGCTTTTTTTATTTTTCATTCATAATTTTTCAAAACTTCTCCATGACGCAGGACCTAATTGACAGTTTCAGATGACGAAAGATGAAAAAAACCGCATAAATTCGATAATTCTCCGATAAATTTGGGTTTGAGAATAAAAAAAGGCATTCAAAACACTTTCAAAAATACATTTCACTCGATCGAATAATCACGAGGCAATACTCCACCTAATAACGGAATATTCAGTTCGACAATCGCGAACGGATGGGAATATTCACAATCGCGAATTTTCGGCGCAATGGGGGAGGTGCGTACGCGGATCTGTTTCACTTTCAGCCGTCCCATGCGTAATATGCGTGCACTAACGTTGGCAATCGGTGAAAGTATAACGGCCATTACAAGGCGTTATTCTCATTTCACTCTAATTCATTCCCCAGCTCTTCTCACTGGTCTGTTTCCTCGATAACACAATCGACATGTGCAGTAGTTGTTTTTCTTTTTCTCTTTCATTTTTCAGTTCCTTCTTTGGTCGGCTCATTGTTGTTGTGGCAAGTCAGTGGGAATTTTCGGTTATAAAAGGCCTGATGAGGCGAATTAACCGGTGAATTGTGAGCAGTTTGGTCTGTTCATTTTGCGAATTGAAATTGGGGCATTCTTTTTTGGTAGTACTCAGAAGTTTCGGGAGGGTTAATTAATTTTTATTTAAATTAATGAATATTTCATTAAGAGTGAAATGATCATTAATTTCAATTGAAAATATTTGGAATGAAACAATTATTATTGATTATTAATTGTTTATGTAACAATCAATAATAATAATAATAATAATAATAATAATAATAATTGAAATAGGACAATTTTTTTATGATAACACTCAGGTTTTTTGAAGAGATTAATTAGTTTTTAATTAAACTAATGATTTTTTTTAAACGAAATAATTATTATCGATTATTAATTGTTTATGTAATAAAGGGGCAGAACAGGAGATGAGTCCAGGGATTTTGTAACGATAATTAACGAAAAGTCATTAAAAAAGTGGGGAATGGAATGAAAATTGATTATTAGTTTTTTTTAATAAAAAAAAAACTGCCTCAAGAGTTGATTTTGCGTTTGAATAAATAAATTATTCATTTCATATAATCCAGATATTTTCATTTAAATAAAGACATAAATAAAGAAAAGAATTGTTGAAATTAATGAAAAAGCTTCGATCAAAGAGTTTCATTTGATTTGAATGCATCATTTACCTCGATGTATTTTCCAAATAACCAGTGAATTAATTTCCGGCTCATCACCCCTCCCACATTTAGTAAAAATAATTTAGTAGAAAAGAAGAATGAAATGAATTACCGGGAATGTCAGAGCCACCGCAGTTGCAATCCGGAAGTAGACAGACGTCCTTGCGGCACTTGGCAGCGGGTTTGTCGACCTGTGGAGTTGGATACAGGGTAGGTGGTCTCGTTGGTGGATGCCTGTAGATATCAACGAACTCCTGGGCCTTGGAAACAATCTCAGTGGAGGGTTTCAGCGTTGGCCTCACCCGTCTGGGATTTAAAGTAGTGTAAATAAGCGAGGAAGTGAAATCAGGAGCGAACTGATCAACTGGTTCAAATCGACTTCGGCTATTGGCCAGTTTTCAATGAATATCTCGAAATCTAAGGGAGATAGCAAAATTCTTCTCATGACCTTTTTAGTAGCACTCAATTCGCTCTACAAAAAAGGTTATTATGAAAATTTCGCTATCTCCCTTGAATTCGGAAATATTTCCGGAAAACTCAACTGAAGACTAAATTGACTTCAACCCTTTGACAATTTCGCTATCTCCCGTGAATTCGGAAATATTTCCGGAAAACTCAACTGAAGACTAAACTGACTTCAACCCTTTGACAATTCTGCTACTGAAGTTGAAAAAGTAAAGAGAATTTTTGAGTTACGAAATTCTTTGAAATTTCAGTGCGATTTAAGTGAAATTTCGGCTATTAGTCAGTTTTCAATGAATATCTCGAAATCTAAGGGAGATAGCAAAATTCTTCTCATGACCTTTTTAGTAGCACTCAATTCGCTCTACAAAAAAGGTTATTATGAAAATTTCGCTATCTCCCTTGCATTCGGAAATATTTCCGGAAAACTCAACTGAAGACTAAATCGACTTCAACCCTTTGACAATTTCGCTACTGAAGTTAAAAAAATAAAGAGAATTTTTGAATTACGAAATTCGCTGAAATTTCAGTGCAACTGAACTGCGATAATAGTTTACAATAAGTTAACCGATAATTTGAACCAAAAATTTCGAACAATGCATCGTGGGGTATCCCAGGACAGCCCGATGCAATTAACCACACACGTGCCCCCATTAATTAGCCTGACGAGGGTGTGTTAATGTATCCGAGTGGACATTTCGATCCCCGGTATTCAGGGTAATGTATCATTGCACAATCGAAGCGGTGGGAATGATCAGCCGATGAACCGTGAAGATCAGAGAGGGATAGTGCATTTTTCAGTTTGTTTAATTGACAGGCAAATCTGTCTGGCTGATTAATCAATGAATAGTCTCACAATCAATAATGAGTGATAGGTTGCGTAAACGAAGGAGGAGAAATGCTTCAACTGAATTGAACATGTGAATAAGTAGTGGATTTTTTTCGCGCAGAATTTTTCATTGAATATTTACTGTATTATTTCAGTCCCCAGTCAAATGAGAGAAAATAGAAATTTCATTCCAATGAGTATGAAAAAATAATGAAATAGTTTTTTATTTTATTTGTACTTACGGTGGCGCTGTACCTCGATTAACTTGTGGTCGTCCCCGACTGGAAAAGAAATGACCGAGATATTTACATAAAGACAATTAAACACTCGATTCAATTCAGCTTCCGGTATTGTGAACGAAAGTGAACGAAAATCGTATTTGTAGTTTATCGTTTTGTACTGAGTGAAAGTGTGAACAAAAGGAGAGCGTGTCGAGGGATTGATTTCGTGCTCATCCATTGTCGACGCAGTACGATTGATGATTCTTTGGGTGGATCAATGGTACTCATGAAATTGGGTCTCGGTCGGGGCCGAAAAGGAGAGTGCGGAGACTCACCAATGAATTGTGATCGGAATACAAAATCTTGAATGAGCGTTATTTTTTTTTTTCAACTCAAATGTTTTTTCTGAATTCGAAATTCACATTTTTTTATCTGTAATGATGGCACATTTAACGAGACACGAAGGACTCATTCGTTACGTTTCGTCTTTGATTCTCTAATCAACATGAAACCATGGGGAAGATAATTTTGTTATAAATTTAGCTCACCTCTGTACAGTGACAGTAAAGGGGCGTGCTGTTGTGGTGGGTGGTGGTTGGGTGGTAGTCGTCAGGGGCACATAACTATCGACAATGGCATTTGGTGTTGTCACGTGGACCGCTGGATGGCTGAGACCATTGGTTCTGTGCATAACAAGGACAAGATAGTGTTTCTCCCCAATTTGGTATCACTGTCGTGTTGAATTTTGTCAGTGACATTAAAACAAAATAACAGTCCCTG